GGGGTGGGTGGGATAGGGTGGGGTTGGGTGGAATGAGGGGTTGGGCTGGGAAAGGGTGGGGTGAGGTGGGGTTGGGGTGGGCTTGTATTCGGCGCCATCTATACATTCCTAGGTACATTTGTCTTCTTTGATCCAGATTTTGCATCTAGTGTCTCAAAGATTTGAGGAGACAGTGGTGGGGAGGCAGATGGTCTTTTGTGCTGCTTTTCCCAGGAGTTTCAGAATACATACCCTAAAGAATTATCTGTGGTTTATAGATCAGAAGGTAACAATTGCTCCGTTGATTTTCAAAAGGCTTGGAATCCTGTAGGCAGAACCCCATTAGTCTATACCCATAAAGAAACCAGCAGCTTTTCACTGGTATGCTTGTTAAAGATTACCATCCTCGCTCTCGATAAGACCGAATTTCAAAGGCTGGCAACAGTGAAGGAAAGAAGCAGCAAAAGCAGCAACAATGGGCCAGTGGCTGAGGCTTGCTATTGTTGGGCCTTCGGGGAGACTAGGCATCAAAGGAAATTTCCTTTTGAAGGAGTGATTTATGATAGAGTATGCAGCTAGCTTGTTTTGTGTTGTGTTTAGGTTTCAGGTTACAGAAACAGTCACAAATTAATTCCTAGTTAGCAGGGCATTATAGCTGCCCTTTTGAAAAGCATTTGGATTTTTGTCCAGGTGTGTACTTGAAAGTGTTATAAATCTTAAAACTACATGCAGGCCTTGCTTTCTTCCTTCCCTCTTTTTCTTTCCCTTGTCCCCCAATGGAGATTATTTACCTGTTTGCTGAAAAGGATCCTGTGGCTTTAAGATCTGAAAGCAGAATAAGAGATAGACTTTTTTTTACGTGGCCGGGTGAGGGGTGGGGGGCTTTCATTGGAATTGCCCTGCTGGTTCTGCTTGCTGTGAATTCCATTAAAGTTATTTCCCCTAGATTTCTGGTCCCGTTTCCCTCCCACTTTAAATAAAAGATGTAATTTTTCCCCCCCTTCTCCCCAACTCTTTATTTATTCCTTCTTCCAGACCATGAACCCTCCTCTCCCTCCACCCCCACTCCTGGCTGCCCCTGTCGCCTCCACACCACCAGGTGCTGCTGCATCCGGAGCAGGACCAAGGCCCGCAGTAATACCCGCTGAGCAGATTGTGCACTTACGGCCCCAGACTCGCCCCAGTGTGTAAGTGGGGGTGTTGTTTATTACTGTTCAAGTGTGCCTTTAAAACCAAGCCCAAACAGCGGAGGTAAAGAAACACCATTCTAATCGTAGTTGATGACAAGCTTATGGCCCACCAAGTGGGTTTGTGTTCTGCAAGCTTCCACACAGCCATGCAGATCATTGCTGAAACAGAATGGGTTTAATAAGCAAGCTTGCTGGGCAGCCATCCTGCTGACTGAAGGTCTTTCATAGTATAGAAGCTGTTTGCTTCTTTGCAATATTATATGTGTGCATAGGACTGCCACTTTGTATAACTCTTGTGTGAGCTTTTTTATTCCTTGCCTTAGGACTCTTTTAAGAACAGAAAGGAAAAGAAAAAAAAAGGAACAGAAAGGTATTTCACACAAATCAGACCTAGTTGGAGTATGCGTGTGAAAAACTGCATGTCCCCAGCAATTAGTGTCTAGAAAAAAATGTAATTATCTTCAGCTTTTACAAGTGACAGCACACATCTAGATTTCTGTGGGCCCTTCCTTGTGTAGATGTGCACTTTAGCTGTCTAGGGTAGTATTGGAAGACACTATGAGGTAGTGTTGGCTGCCCAGTTCCGTGTGTGTAGGTAGGCACAGTCACCTTGCATTGTGGGGTGATTTCATGCTTTCTCTAACCTCCGCCTTCTTTTCTTTGGACGGTTTCAAATTCAGTATCTTTCCCAGTGAACCACACAAAACTGGTGCAGCTCAGACCTTTAGGTTTGGCCTGTGTGTGGAAAGCAGCATGTTGTGCTTCCTGGCGGGATTTCATACCACATGTCCTCATTTAAGGCTACTTCCCAAGCCCAGCAAGTGCCACTGGAGGAGCTCGCCTCTCCCCGTGGGGGTCTCAGCCCCAGGAGCAAGGGTGGCGCGTCAGAAGCTACAGCCATTCTCTAGCATCTCTTGGGTTCCTTTTGGTGAGTTGGTCGCTCTCACACTGCGAGGGATCCAGCAGGTTTTTGTCAGAAAGCGTCCTGCCTCTTTCCGCGAAGAGTTACATACCAGCACGATCGACAGGTTAAGGGTTGTACCACCTGCCCACGTTTATGGACAAAATCCTGACGGCTTTTGTGTTAGGCCGGGTTGATGAGAGAAACAAATCCAGTGACACTTACATATGTGTAAGAAAGAGCTTTATATCAAGAAGCTTTATACATCAGGAGAACATCCCAGCCCAGCCCGATAGTAGTCCGTAAGCCCCTCTTCAGACAGTCACACAGCCTCATGCAGTGATGCAGAATGCAGGAAGATCACAGGTGCAAGCTCCGTGTGAGTCCAGTGGTGCAGTTCATCACAGGGCTCTGGCAGGTCTCAGAGCGACTCGTGGGCATGAACATGAAAGCAGAGAGAGATGAGGAGGTCCCAGGACCCTTCTTATGAGAAGGCCAGTCCACAGAGAGTTCCCTGATTGGCAGGCTAACCTCTACCCATATCTTCCTACAAGTACCATGTTGGCACCAAAAACCTAACTATTACAACTTTATCCCAAGGAAACTTTCTCAGCAGCTTGGTGTTTCCTCTGTTAACCAGTCTGAAGTGGTCATTCTCTTCTCTCCTAGGTATGTTGCTATCTATCCATACACTCCCCGGAAAGAGGATGAGCTGGAGCTCAGGAAGGGGGAGATGTTTTTGGTGTTTGAGCGCTGCCAGGATGGCTGGTTCAAAGGGACATCAATGCATACCAGCAAGATAGGGGTTTTCCCTGGCAATTATGTGGTACCAGTCACAAGGTACAGTTTTGAACATAACATTTATGCAGCTTTGAACAGAGAGGCTTAGTTTTTGCCCATGACTTTTAGCCTAACCAAGTTCCTTCTCATATTATAATTGCTTCTGTTACATAGCCATAGGGTTTTTGACTGTATCTCTACCTGTGAAAATCCCTTCTAACTCTTTTCACCAGGATAAATGTGACCGTTAGGGCTTTACCAACAAATCAACTAGGTTTCATTTTTATGCTTTAATATATATTTGAGAGGACTCAACTGTACCTCCTTTATGCCAAACAATAAAGAACATAATGTTTAGTATAAACAAAAGCTACATTATTAGTACTTATATGTTTGTGTAGTATATACTATATGCCAGGAGTCTGGTGGTGCAGTGGTTACACATTGGGCTGTGATCTGCATGGTTGGCAGTTTGAAACCACCAGCCACCCTTCGAGAAAGACTAGGCTTTTTACTCCCATAAACAGTTATGGCCTTGGAAACTGACAGAGTCGCTATGAGTCAGCAATGACTCATGGCAGTGAGTATAAACCAGGAAGGCAGATTTCCAAATGCATTGTACATACTAATTCTTAGTCCCAAATAACTCAACTGGTGTGGGTGCTGTTAGCAGCTGCCCTTAGTGGATGAGAGTGTTGAGTTGCAGAGAAAGAAAAGCAACTTGCCTAAGATCACATAGGGACCTAGTGTTCAAACCCACGTGAGCTGCCCCATTATTTATTCTAGATAGCTTATAGTTAATTTCTAGAGTTCTGGCAATTAATTTCTAGAGTACAATCGGAAATATGTCTCTAATATGGCATTGACTGGGAACGAATTTGCTTCCCAGAAGACATGTGGCCAATCTAGACAGACATTTTTGTTTGCTGCAATTTGGAGAGGGGAAGAGAGGGTGGAAGCCAGGGAAGGTGCATACAATAGACTAAGGGGCCCAAAATGTCAATAGTACTGAGGTTCGTAACTTTGTTGTAAGCTGTAAGAGCTTTAGATACGCAAACTTCACAGTACCCTTGTGGGTCTCTGAGGAAAGTAACCTTGAAATCCGAATGGCATGACCTATCCCACCATTAGTTCTGGGAGACCCCTAGTTTTTGACCCCTGGGGACTAAACAAACGGTCCAGCTTTAACTACATTAAATCATTCCTGAAAACCCCTGATTAGCAAATGGTTTAATGAACTGACATGTTTGTCAGCTGTTGGCCTTGATTGATGGTTGGCCAGCAGCCTAATCAAGTGAAAATCACTATTGTTGCAGATGGTGACAGACTGTTAGCTTTCATTTGACTTGCAGATTATTATTCAGTACAAACCTCCTTTTCTGGCTGTGTGAAGTTCCACATTTAGGAACCACCCCTGCCTAGAAATTGGCATCTAGACCTACCCTGGTGCAAAAAAGACAAGAATAACAACTCTAAGGGAAATAAACAAACAAAAAAAACAACAACAAAAAATGAAGATAATCAAGGAAAACATACCGATAGGATTCAAAAACAAATTATTAAAAATTTCACTGGTGTTTTACCTCGGGAGAAATGCTTATTTACTGTAAATTCTCTGCCATTCATCATTGTAAAGAATAAGAATTCAAACTCATGAGGTAGTAGTCTACTTGGGGAAAAGTTGCCATACCCAAAAACAAGCTGGAAAAAAGCTCCCCTGGGCGGAGCTTTCGTAGGATGCATTTTCCCACACTAGCAGAGCACCTAACAACTCTCCCTGAGTTAGTGCACCCAGTGCCATCGCTTGGGAAGGTTCTCTCTGGTCATAGTGAATTTTTTCTTAAAAGCAATTTTGCTCGAACCTCATTTTTTGTGATGGCCAAGTTAAGAAACTAGCATGTGGCTGTGAAATTTTGTTTCCTGCTTGGGAAAACTGCTGCCGAAACTGCTGTGATGCCGAACACAGTTTACAAGGACAGCACTATAGGAAAAACTCAAGTCCACAAGTGGTTTTCTCATTTCAAGAAAGGTAAAATGTCGATTGATGACAAACCTCATTCTGGACTTCCATCAACTTCCTGAAGGGACAAAATTGCCAATTTGTAGTGCATTTGGAGTTCATTCCACCAGGTCAGACTGTTAACCACGCTTTCTATTTAGAGGTTCTGCAAAGATTGTGTAACAGTGTACAACAAAAAAGGTCTGATTTGTGGCAAGCGGGGGACTGGTTTTGCTACCACGACAATGCACCTTCTCACACAGCCATCTCAGGGTGCCAGCTTTGGGCAAAAAGCAGCATGCCTCTCTTGCCCCATACACCTGACCTTGTTCTGCCCCACTTCTTTTTGTTTCTGCAAATGAAGAAGGGCATGAAAGGACAGCAATTTGACGACCTAGAAGAGGTGAAGAAAAAAACACGAGAAGTGCCGTCAGCGGTCCAAACAGATGAGTTTGAAAAATGTTTCCAGAGTGGACTCACAGATTTTCAAATGTATTAAGTATAATGGAGAGTGCTTTGAAGGTGCTAAGGTTGTTTTGAATAAAAATTTAAATATATAGCTTTGAAAGAAAGTCATTTTGGGGGGAGGCACCCCCTTGTATACAAAATGGTAGTTTAAAAAAGTTAGGATATCAAATATATATACAAAGCTACACCAAACAATCAAATGAAGGCCATGAATATATTAGCACTCCTTCTACTTATCGTTGTGAAACAACCATTTTCACAATGGTTTTACTTTCTATGAGCTCAGATTATTACTAAGCCAGGAGTGTTTCATAAATAATTTATTTAAAAATCATGTAGCACATTTTGTAATCAAGGGCCAAAGTATAAACAATGTATGGATTACAGAAAACAGAACAGGGAAATATAATGAAACAGTAGAATCATAAGATCCTCAGCCTTCCCAGCCACACCACTGCCATCAAATCAATTTTAAATCATAGCAACTCTGCAGGACAGAGTAGAACTGTTCCTTAAGGGTTTCTGAGACCAGCAATCTTTATGGGAGTACATAGCCTCATTTTTCTCCTACAGAGTCACTAGTGGGTTTGAACAGCTTAGCTTAAACCTATACCTAACCCACAGCACCACAAGGGCTCCCTTCTTCAACCTTAGCTGTAGGTAAACCCTCCAAAACTCAAATTCCGTTTATTCCAACCGATGGTGACCTTAGGTGTTATAGAGAGTGGAACTGAGTTCAGTAGGCATCTTACCAGACCTTTCTTCCATCACACCATTGGGTGGGTTTGAACCACCAACCTTTGAGTTAGTAATTGAGTGTAAACCATTTGTGTCACCTAAGGAAGCCTATATACAACTGTCTTGAAATGATGAGATTTGTGCTGCCTTTGGAAACGGGTGAGATTAATGTATGTCAAGAAAAGCCGGAAAGACATTTTAAGAGTGTGTGTACAGGGCAAGCAAGGGGAACAGGCAAAAACACTAGGGAAGCTACAAAAATGTGTATACTGTGATATAACAAACCGAGCAAGAGAATCCAGGGTATTGAAAGTCAGGGATGTGAATAGCTAAACTCAGTAACTATATTCTTGCAGAGTATAATGTGTGGTCTGGGGTGACTCAAAAAAACATTTTAAGAGCTTTGAATTTGCTATTCTTAAACTTTTGAAAAACAATTCCGTTCCATTCACTTTTTTTTTCCTTAAAATGTTCTGCCTGTTACTCTGGGGCCTTATTTATGTTGTGTCTAATAGTGCTGTCTCCTGTTGCTGATGCATGTGGGTCTTCTGTCTGTGTCTCTGTCTTGACAGGGCAGTGACGAGTGCCTCCCAAGCTAAAGTCCCCATGTCTACTGCTGGCCAGACAAGCAGGGGGGGGACCATGGTCAGTTCTTCCACCGCAGGAGCCCCTGCTCAGAAGCTCCAGGGAAACGGTGTGACTGGGAATCCCAGCATCGTCCCCACAGCCGTGGTGTCGGCAGCTCACATCCAGACGAGTCCTCAGGCCAAGGTCTTATTGCAAATGACTGGGCAGATGACTGTCAACCAGGCTCGCAATGCTGTAAGGACAGGTGAGGACAAAGTCAGGCTGGAACGTGACAGTAGGGGTTTGACTGCCAATGATTAGATCTTCCCTGACAGATGTTTAGAAAAGCAGACGTGACATTAAAATGATGAATAGCATTAGGAAATAGGAGCAGACACCGTCTGGTCCACAGCGCGTTATACAATTTATCTGGGCTAATGCCACCCTACTCATTAATTCAAGCCTGATTACAGATTAGAAGCCTGAAAGAAATTAGACTGACCCTAAGAATAGTACTTGAGGTTGTGATCTCTGGAACTGAAATCCTAGGTTTTCAAATCTCGCTACCCCTAGCTTCATGACCGCTGTGCTAACCAGGGTGCTGGCTGTTATTGATGAGCTTAGTTCCAGGGTGTGTTCAACCCAGTGAGAGCCTAGATAGCTTTCTTCTGCTGTGTTATTAAAAATCTAGCCATGTCATAGGTAACAGCTGTGAGGTAAAGAAAGGTTTATGAATTCTATCAGGGAAAAAAGAAAGGAGGAAAATGTGTAATAAGAAAAGGGATCATAATATAGAAGGAACTGGAGACTGACCTGGTTTGACACTGTGGGGTGTTTTCAGACATAGGTGCTGTTTCTCCAGTGGCACAGAAAGACTTCCTCCCTCTCCAAGGAGCCTCTTGCTTCAGGCTTATAGTTGAGCTTCTAGACAGTCAGCAGTTCAAGGTCTGATCTGGAAGGCGAAGAGCAAGTAGGGTCCTGAGCGATATAAAGTGCCTTTAAACCACTGTACATTATAATACACACTGTACATTACATGTAATTGCAACTTTTCAGTATGATCCAATGTGGTGCAGTGACTCATGTTTTGATGAGTATCATTTATAAGAAATTTAAATTGTGCTCTCTGATTCTTCCTGTCATCTACTAGTTGCCGCACACAACCAAGAACGCCCTACGGCAGCTGTGATGCCCATCCAGGTGCAGAGTGCCACCTGCTTGGGCCCCACACTTGTGGGTCTGTCCCATCATCCCTTGGCCTCTCAACAACCTCAGCCTCCAGTGACGGGCCCCGCCATGCATGTTGCTGCCGTCAGTATCAGTCGAGCCAACGTGCCTCTGACGTGTGCAGCAGCTGCCTCCCTGACCTCCCCGAGCATCACCACTGCCTCTTTGGAGAGTGAGCCCAGTGGCAGGACCGTGACCATCATCTCTGGACTTCCCACATCCCCTGACAGTGCTTCATCAGCTTGTGGAAACAGTTCAACCGCCAAACCAGACAGTAAGGTAAGACTAGCTTCCTATTTCTTTACCATGTATCTTGGGTTGTTGCTCTCTTCTGTGGTCACCTCCATCTCACGCAGCAGAGAGTGAAATAACTGCACCACCCTCCGGATCACTTGCAGGTGTGATCTGTGGTCTTCGTTGGCAGATTTCCCAACGCAGATTATTGGTCATCCTTCCTAGTCTGTTGTAGCCTGGAAGCTCTCCTGAAACCTGCTCAGCATCCCTAGCAACACGCACACAGCTTCCCGTTGTGTCTGTGCATGAAGTGCTTTGGCTGGGAACTGAACCCTGGTCTCCCATCTAGAGCACTTTACCACTGAACCCTAGCGACTAGAGCTCATCGCTCAACCTGCATCTCAGTTTTTCTAATAAAGAAGTTTCATTGTTCAACAACCCTGTGCATGCCTTCCAGGCAAGTCACTGTGTCAGGTTTTAGGAAGATGAAGGGGACCCACCGAAAACCGGAACTCTCCCACCCTTTTCAAAGCTATGTATTTAAATTTTTTTTATAAAACAACCTTAGCACCTTCAAAGTACTCTCCATTACACATTTGTCAAATCTGCTATTCCATTCTTGGAAACATTTTTCAAACTTATCTGTTTGCATGGCTGACAGCACCTCCCTTGTTTTTTTCTTCACCTCTTCTAGGTCGTCAAATTGCTGTCGTTTCATGTCCCTCTTCATTTGACAAAACAAAAAGAAATAGGGCAGCGTAAGGTCAGGTGTGCGGGGCAAGAGAGGCATGCTGTTTTTTGCCCAAAACTGGCACACTGAGATGCCTGTGTGAGCAGGTGCCTTTTCATGGTGGCAAAACCAGTCCCCCGCCTGCCATAAATCAGACCTTTTTTGTTGTACACTGTTACACAATTTTTGCAGAACCTCTAAATAGAAAGCTTGGTTAACAGTCTAACCTGGTGGAATGAACTCCAAATGCACTACAAGTTGACAGTTTTGTCCCTTCAGGAAGTTGATGAACGTCCAGAATAAGGCTTGTCATCAATTGACATTTCACCTTTTTTGAAACGAGAAAACCATTTGTACACTTGAGTGGTTTCCATAGTGCTGTCCTTATAAGTTCAACCTCAAAACAGTTTCTGCAGCAATTTTCCCAAGCAGGAAACAATTTCACAGTCGCATGCTATTCTCTTAAGTCAGCCATCACAAAAAGCGAGGTTTGAGTGAAACTGCTTTTAGGAAAAATTCACCGTAACCAGAGAGAACCTTCCCAGGCGATGCCACTGGGTGCAATAACTCAGAGCGAGTTGTTTGATGCTCTTCTAGCTGGAAAAATGCGTACTACAAAAGCTCTGCTCCACCCAGTGCAGTTTCGTTTTGGGGGGAGGTACTCCCTCGTATAGTGGGGAATAGCCTCAGGCACCACCCTTGACCTCGTACACAACTTAGTTGAAACACACCAGGTCCTGAGTTGGATGCCAGGAAAACCCCAGTGAATGAGGAATGTCACTTCCCTTTTGGTGGACTCAGATCTAAAGGAGGACATTTTTCTCTTTTCATCATTTTGCTGTCCTAATTCTTCCTGTTCACTCAGTTTCACTCAGTTCTTTTTTTTTTTTTTTCAATCATTTTATTAGGGGCTCATACAACTCTTAATCAAAATCCATATACACATTAATTGTGTAAAGCACATTTGTACATTCATTGCCCTCATCATTGTCAAAACAGTTCCTCTCCACTCAAG